ACGAACGAACGAACAAAAAATATTTTTTTTAAATTGTCGAACGAACGAACGAACAAAACCTTTTTTTAAAACCATGTCGAACGAACGAACAAGCGTTCGAAGGTGTTCGACGGCCAACACTAGTGGCATATGCCATTTTGTTGGTATGGTGGCCGGCTACAAACGCTCAGTTTTTGGCAAAAGATTGCCGGGCTGATTTTTGAGAAATCGCGTTTGGTGTGAAATTTAAGGGGGTCGATTTTTCATAAAAATCGACTTTTTTCTTTTATATCACATAAACATTGGCATGTATGTATGGAACTTTTTGAAGGTCTTCTCAAATAATTACGAGCTGACTTTCATCGATGGGTGTCTGAGTTGATCTAGTGTACGAAATAAATACTTGAAAAAATCGTATACATGCAGGCTAGTGAAGCCATAGCCAGCTCTCCTGTTAAGCAAATATCAATCTGAGGATGGGTTTCGATGTGGCCCGACACCAGCTACAGCTGAGGCATATCGGCACTGGAATCTGTGGGGGTCAAAAAAGTTTCCGGACACATGATTGAACGGACGAACGGACGCACAAATCAATACTTTCATGAAAAATCAAGATCAAACTGCCAATGCCCATAACTTTTTCGTTTTTGGACCAATCGGGGCACTTAGACCGGCGTTGGAAAGGTGGCGAGGAGGAGCTTCTCTTGGGTACCTCAGACCACCCCCTGGGTACCCCCTTCGTAAGATATGGGTATAGATTTGAAAATTTATCGTAATTTTCCAACCGCTATATTTTTGCCCAGATCACACTTAGGCATGGAATTATTGTATTTCCGACTATTTGGGCCAAGACCTTTCCAACGGTACCAAACATGCCGGGGCTCAAATAGTGTCCTGAGAAAATAGCATATTTACTGTATATACTCGTGACGCAAAAACTGGCATTTTTGATATTTGGCTTGAAATGCACAGTTGTTGGAGCGTCACTTGTCGGACTACCGTCCTTCGTGATAAGATTAATTTTATGTCATTACTTTTATTGCCATCCGATCCTTCTTTTGGTTGAGTGAACTTTTCTAAACCAAAATGGAAAAATTCAAAAGAAATTCATTTTCCATGAATACATATTTTCTTTATTTATCTGGCAAAAACCCCGTTTTTCTTGAAAATATATCACCAATAAAAACATGACAAAGTGTATTGAAAATGACACGGTAAAGTGGCGGCATTTAACGAATTAATCACATATTTTTACAGAACAAAATCTACTCAAATGATTCGATGATGAAGTGATTTGCGTAGCGCTTTTTCCGCATCGGATTCATCAATATCACTGGTATCATCTACGGTAGTCTCTTGCTCTGGCAATCGAGTCCATCGTATCATCGTCTCTGGCGATCGATACAGGAATATGAGTTTACCGTACAAATCTTCTTCCAATTTGAAATCGCCTTGTTCTCGAACCAAATAGATATCTGAGCACAGCTGTAATATTCGATCAACGTACGGCAAATCTTTCTGAATGATATCCGTTACTTTGCTCGCTAAACATTGCCGAAAGAATTTCGATGAGAACAGTAGGTAGGTCGAGTAAAGCCCAATGATTCTGAAAAATGAATAAAACAATCGATTGAAATCAAACATTGAGAGCAAATGAGCGGAAAACAGGCGGAAAAAGTTCTTCTCTGAACCTACCCGCCGGCGATGTAAGGACTCAGCGATGATGGGTATAGCTTGTCGTTGAATGTGTACATCACGGTGTTATCCGAGCAATCTGCGTATGGGAGTTTCGATAATACCTCTTGGTAGTAAGTTTCGTTGCAATCCTCCGCTAATTCCCACCATTGCATTGCATTGTCCTCATTCAGACGTAGCGTAACATTTTGATAGTTGCGATTGGCTTGTAGTTGTGGAATCGGCTGCAAACCTTTTGCATTCATTACCTGTAACGAAGAGACATATTTTTCCAAGAATAAAATCCATTCATCAGTTCATATCGCTTCAAAAGTGTTACCTTCAAAAACTTCGGAAACAGAAAGGGCAAGTGAACACGTTGATTATGGTCACCTTCCTGAATGATTCTAATCAATTCCTGTCTGGCCGCATCATTTTCGTGCATAACAAAGACATGATTGTCTTCGACCACGTCCGATTTCTCGTGAGATAATCTCGATATTGAAATCGAATAACGAAATTTCATTGTAACATTCTCGCGAAGATAACGTTTGAGCTTTTGAAGACTCGGCGGTGACATGAGCCACAATGAACTTGAGTTAACATCCAATGAAATGGCTGCAATGTCATCTTCGTCATATTTCGAAATGATGGACTGAACGGCAGTGTTGTTTGCGTAAATGCCTTTTAACGCATCAAAATCACTTTCGCTGAATCTGAAAACGAATGATACGATTATTTGGAGTAAAGAATTGAACCTAATCTCCCAACTCACTGGTTTATATTCCTTGTTTGTGCCGTCATCCGATACAACGGCTCAGCTGATCCAACATGCAGTGAGACACTCACTTCGTATGGAATATTTGACTTGCCAACGGTGTGATCGAATGTGAACAGTGCCCATGGGCCCCAGATCAGACAGAAGAATATGATCAGTGAAGCGGCTGCTCTCATATAGTCGCCCTTTGTTCCTCGAACCACTCCACGCGGTCGCGGCACTGTTTTTTCATATTGTCGATGGCACTGAAAACCCCAAAAATCCGAATGAAATTCTTTTGAAACGTGTCACTTTGAATTTCTTACCTTGATCGTAAACAGATCTGAGTAAATGTCTTCCATTTTGAACCATTCGTACAGCGTGAGCGATGTTTTGATACAAATCCAATCGAGCAATGTTCGAGCTTCCGATAAAAATGGTATCATTTGATAACTGTAATTCGAAACACAGAAAATGGTTATTGAACGATTGATGCCATTGGCTCAGATCATTCATACGATTCAAACACTCGCCAGTGCATTAAAGAGAATCCATTGTTGGCAAAATTGCCAGAGACTCGCTTCGGATAGCCGCATCGAATTTGATAGGCCGACAGAAGGAAGTAAACGCATTTGACGTAGTAGAATAGCATAGGCGGCCATGTGATCGAGTGTGATCGCTTCTCGCAATACACAAGCATGAAATGACATTGCCATATGTGAACGGCTATCACCGAGATCACATAAAAAACAATTTTTCCCTTCATATTTCGCCGCAGGTACAACGCTCGATCGATGATCAACAACACAAATTGAACCAACAATGTTAATAGAAATCGAAATGGAATTTGATCCTCTTCCAAATAGTTCTGAACACCGGCATCGTACGGCGATTGCTGAAGGGAAAAAGATGTGAATTAATGCAAAAAATTGTGGATAATCAGTCGATGAGTAAGAAAATTGTTCCTTTCTCATAAGAATAGATAAATTTTTGATGATAAATGTCATAAGCTTACACTGAACGCCGAAAATCCAAACATTAGCACAAAGAAATTGAATAAATCACACAAAAACATAAATGTGTACACATCAGCTGGCATTTGTACGATCGAATTGCATCGAATTGTTGAATTTCTGTGGAATCAGAGAGATATTTGAATCATTTCTAGCCTAAATTGCATACTTCATTGTCTCAAAACTTACAACGACCGCACATTTAGAAAGTCCAACGCATGCACAGCATTCTCGTTCACTTTCTTTGTTAACGTCCAAATCCCCATGTGCTTCAGCACAGATCTGCCAAAATGAATGACAATTGAGTTAGTTTGCTTTAATTTTCCATAGAATGGTTCCAAATCAATACCTATGAAATAGCACAATGTGCAACAAAATCAGGTTATATGTGGCACTCGCTCTGGCGAATTCAATCTTGTGGAAATGCGACATTATCTGCAGGAAATACTGTACAAAGACCTGGAACTGTGTGGGAAATAACATCATTTAATAGGATGACTTTGACTTTGACTAGGCAAAAAATGACAACTCCGCTCATACCTCGGTGTAAGCAATAACTGTGAGCCAAAAGCGTTTCGATGGTCGTGGAATGGTTAAAGTTGCCCAGAGACAGACACACAATGACATGGGCAGTGTGAGAATGCTCATCGATAATATTGTGTTTAAGAAAATAAACAAATAGCAGATGACATCGGTGTTGGCAATTAATGCAAACCACAATGCTTGGCAAAACTCTGACACAATCGAGTGTTGATGCGAGAAAAAGTAGGTTCGTTCTTCAGACATTCCTTCTTGGTCACTGCAAAAATTGGTTTCTGAGCTGAAACTACCGTTCATGTTTGATAAATCATCATTGTGAATGGATTCATTTTCTCAGTTCAAACTTACCCACACGCTTTAAGCTTCAACAGTTTTTTCTCCTTGGTTAGAATCTCATGAACAAAGCGATAGTTCCGTGAAAATTTGTACAAATACAGCGTAATCGAGATCAGTAAATCGCGCAAGATTGATATAACGTAGTTATCTAGTAGCAAATGAGCAAAGAAAAATAGATTAGAATATTCATAGAAATAATGCAAAAAGGAAGAGAAGAAAGGAAAAGAAGAGAATGATCAAATTACTTTGTGATACACGATCATCGTTTTCTGCTTTTGATTCGTTTGCTATGAAGCGGCTTCCGTTTCGATTTGACGTATTCGAATCCTGTGAATATGAAATTAATTTACGTTTAAAAAATCATGCTCGGAAAATTGATTTTGTTCAAAAATTTATTAAAAAATCTTCCAAAAAAAGAAAGGAAAATCGCCGAGACTCGCCTTGAGTCATCTGATTTTTAAGAAACTCATAAAAAAATCCAAGGTAAAACAAGAAATACAAACCTTCATAGTACATTCGAAACGACTGTGATTCCGAAGCAGAAATGATTCTTCACTCTCGACGCTAGATTCATTTTGCCGTGGATTGAATTCGCTCTTTTCGACTAATTCCTCGTACAAATACTTTCCATTGTATCGAACGGCTATAATATCAAATCGATTGCAAAGAATTTTCAATATATCGAAGAAAATGTGCATTAGTATCATAAATTGAGCTTTGATTCGAGTTGCAAAGACTAAGTTTTATCCATGTTAATGGCCAAAGTTGAATTACCTTCGTGATGAGTTTTCGCTGGTATGAGGTTTGGCTCAAACTTCTGTTGGTTGACCTTTATGCGTTCTACTTTCTGTTTTATTTTCTCCAGCGTTTCTCTTTCCCGCTCCATTTGAGTGGAGTGCATTTCATGCATACGATCGGCCAATAGTTTGGTTCCTCTGTAATTTATACGTTCATTATTTGCAAAGTTTAGGCATTCACGCACGGTAATGTTCTTTGAATAACAAAGAAGAATTTTGTTCGACTCGAATTTTGATTTGCATCTAATCACCTAATAAGTGCCCCACTTACCTCGAATCGCAAACAAATGTTGCTTTGCTTTCGTTGATGATGTGGCAAAAGTCGAAGCTTTTGAAAATGCGGAGTTGAAATATGAGAAATGCAAAGCATAGGCAATCGTAGCTCGAATCCAACGGCTTAATCGATTGCTTTTCCTGAAGTGAGAAAAATATTATTTCATGCACATATTTTATGCCACAATTTCAACCTGGCATTTACCTCATTCAAAAATTCATGCACTGATGCAACCATTTGATGCGACAGAAATGTTCCATCGATTATAAGCCGCAAGTTTATCACCGACTTGACTATGATAACAAAGACATTGAATACAATCAGCGTATTCCACCATCGCAAAATCGTTCGAATTGGCTTCATGTAGAAATTTGTTCCGATGTAACAGAATAGAAATGATGAAACCAAATATCCGAGCGAGAAGACGCTGATGTTGTTCGTACCAGTTAGCAAAACAACTGACAGCGTGACCCAAAATGAGCTGAAGTACAGGACGCATTTCAAAATGTCAAGCCAATTCGTCGGGTACAGAAAATCGTGCGTTTTTATTGGAAGTTGGCCAGCGATGATATTGCCAACATCATCCACTGATGATTCGTTGCTTCCTCCTGGATACTTTCGACTTCCGTTCTTTCTTTCGATGCGGAAAACGTTTTGCTGACGACAAATACACATCAACAAAAGAAAGTCGCACAATAGCTTCGACGGATGATTTTTTATTGAAACAAACGCTTCTAAGCGCTGTATTAGATGAAATTCCCATTGAAAATCTGTGAAGGAATCGAAGAATGGAATCGAATGAATTAAAGAATGAACAATAAGATGCCTCAAATATCAGTTTTGTCGTGCAACTCACTTGAATACAAAAACGATGGCAAGTTGAGCATGATTCCATACTGTACGATGGTTGCTATCGTTACAAAATACTGAAATATCGGCCAAATGAACTGTTTTGTTCTGCGTCGCACTCCGCAAATTGCACATAGCCAAATAATGTACACAATTGACATGGTATCTTTTCGGAAGCTAATCAACGAGACCAGCATTATGAGCGTCGATTCGATGCCAAATTTGTAAAATCCATAATTGAATAGGTATTTGATCAGAAGGCTGACACTCTTGTCTGCATCCTCGCGTGTTACATTCTCAAACAGAACCTTCGGCTTTTTTGATGGGTCGCCTCTTTGGAATCTGGGTGAAATGTTAAGTTTCTGAACTATTTTCATTGGGAAAGAATGTGAAAATCTCTTTTAAAACCAACCGTTTCCGTTTTTGATGGTACAAAATGGATGTGAATACCGTTGATGCGGCCAGAAATATCAAATACGGTCCGAGGAACTGAAGCAGATTCTCCTCATTATTCAGCTTTTGAATGCCTATCCATTGAGCCGTATTATTCGTATCACACATTGTTAGCGATACTATAGGTATGTTTGTATTTGCATCCTATGAAAAATGTGGGTTTATTTTTATGGTTTTAATAAACTCAAGTCAATATATGTTTAGAAAAAGGAAAAAAACTAGACAAAAATGACACCTAAAACTTCAAGTTTTAAATGCAAAAAATGGCCGTTCAAAGAAATGAACTGAATTAAACTTACGGTGAAACAAAACAAATCGAGAAATTCTTGTGGAACTTTGAATAGCTGATACAGCATTTTCAAAATAACAATAACACCAGCAACTAATGAGATGATTCCGCAGCTCAATCTTGTGGTATAATTCTCACACAAACATGCTAAAATCACCAGAACATTTAGCAGCAGGTTAAACGATGAAATCTGCGGAAATGATCGTGTTAACAAGAATCGATTTAGAATCAAACAAAAGAAAAAGAAATGAAATAAGCAAAATAAATTTCGTTCACCGAACCTCGCTAATGCTCATGATAAATCCCAAGATCAAAATCACTTTAAATAATTGGAGCTCTAAGAAGCGACACATCCAACCCATGGCTTTCGTGTTCATATCGACGACTGAGCTAATGCCTAGAATGACCTGCAATTTGATCAATATCATCATCTGTTTCCGATTTTTTTCCACACTTTTTGTTCGAAGATCGGTTCAAACAGCATTGAATTTTTTCACTCACCTTCTCCAGATAGGATTTATCGGAAGGTTCAGCATTTTCGGCGCCGTTCTGTCCATCAGCAGCTCTCTGTTTCCTGACGTTATTGCATGAGTCTGTCTTCTTCCATACAAATTGTTGTGTGTATTTGTCATGGAATATCAACAGTTGAATGGCAGTGATCACGACCAAAAATGTGAAGTAAATTAGTTGAATGAGTAGATCTTTGGTTTCATATCGACGAAGACCAATGATGTTTTGCCTAGAAATAAACAGATTTTTTACTATCGCAATGAACATGGTTGATGACTTTTTGAATCAGCTTGAATAATGATTGTAAAGAATATTATTTCAACGAAATATTGTCCGAAAAGAAATCACTCACATATGCTTATTGATGCCCAAATAGTTTTCCCACAGTTCAAACTTTTCAAACTGGTATGTGTAGATCAGCATCAAATTGACCATCGATGAAATGATCACTAGCATCCACAGTGCATAAGTCATTCGTCTCCAGGCGCATAATGACAATTGATACGATATGACAAAGACCAGAACGTAGATCATGTAACTCAATTTCATGAAATTCACTTCATAGCCGTAGATTGCGTAAATGAACATTGTGACCAAAATCATTAGCACCCAAATTTGCGACAAACCATTTACACCAAAGTCGAAACACTTCCAAATCGTGTCTTTCTTTTCAGAACTAATCTGGAATGAATAACGGGCCGATGCTCTTTTTTGCTCCGCGTCTCTTGACGCAACGTGCTCTCGACGCAGTGTGAAACAGAATGTTATTGTGCAAATTGCTTTGAACAACAGCGGCACGCATGGGAATATTTCGTATCGAACGACACCGATTTGGGCCAACATTGAAAATGTGGCCTGGTCGCTAAACGGCAGCTCGTCTGCCGTTAGAATTATGCAATAAAAATATTGGCAAACTAACAATAAATCGGCATAGAATACGACGAACAAATTGATAAGAAGTACGGATTTTCGTGCAATTGGTAACGTCCACAGAACGCTCACCACGAATAGAAACACTATCGATAAATAGCTCCGGAACACTATGCTCCATAACTAAAACCAAACAAAGAGGTGAGATGTTAATAATCGAAATATTTACAAAAATTGAAAGAAAGAAATGGGGATAAATGCGAATTAATTGGCAACTGGCTATTACCATCATCATCAAATTTGATCCAATGTTGTTGTGCCGGCACATGAATCCATAGACTCGGCTTATGAACGATTTCGTCAAATTGGGTATTCTTGAGAGTTCTGGCTCTTCTGTGGAAAGAGAGAATGATTGAAAAATTGTGTAATGTCTCTTGAAAACGGTGAAATTAGATGGTTTGAATGGTATTCCAAGTGAATAAATTGAAACTCCAATCAATTTCTCGGAATGTTTACCAATTGTTCGTCTTTACCTTCAATGGATTTGGGTGGATTATCAGCCAATCGATATAAACATGAAAGTTTCTCCTGCAATAAAAGATTTCATGTTGCTTAACATAATTTCCAGCAAGTCAGCAGTAGAATATTTCACCGCGTGATATTTTTAACACTTCCCTACCTTCTTTTTGTGGATATCTTGGAGAAAAATGACTGAACTGTAGTAACATAGCAACAGTGCGATTGGACTTAAGAGTGCATCTACTTCATTGAGTACAATGACAGGAACAAAGTTATTTTGAACCGGTCTGATGAGTGACTTCAGCCCAAAGTACCTATGTTTGTTTGAAAATCAATTGGATGCAAAAATAAATCAAAAGTGATTCGATTAGTAAAATGCTACGAACGTATGATGACAAACTGAACAAATAAGCGGGAAATGAACGCATGATCCCTACCGAAAAGCTATGCTATTCCTATTGATATGTTTCTCAATCCAAGCCGATTGAAATGCAAATATTGTGCTGAGATGCACGATCAAAACGATACAAAGTATACGACAGATTATGACGAAACTATGATAGACTGATTTGTTCATAGCCCAAAATGTGGTTAGCAGCACAAATGCCACGAAATACAATGAACTCGGTATCGATGGCTGTAGTATGGACGAGAATAACAATGTTGACATCACAAAGAATATCCCTGCAACAAAAATGAATGAATTTTTGAATGAGAACAATTGACATCATATGAAGTGTTGATATCATTCATGATGACATTACCTATTCCCTTCAAAATGGCATAGCTTTTTGATTTCAGGTACTTGTTTCGGCCAAAAATGTTGTTGATGATGAGTGAATCTTCAATGCTGCTGCTTCGGCGCATCGTTGAGATTTTATTGTAAACGATCAATGCAATGACACCTGCCATGCACAAGAACACATCAATCAAGAAGCTCCAACAGAACGATTGGGTGCTGCAAAAATGGTGAAAATAATCAAACATTTGACTCATAAACATTTCGAATCAACTGCAGCATCGTTGATTGTGTTCTTTTCTGTAAAAAAAATAAGCCAAACAAAAATTGGATCTACTTACTCTGCGTTGTACAGCTCCGTCACGCCGATGTTGTGGAGATGCTGACCAAAAAATACCAATGAGCGCAATGAATTCTGATCCTTTGCGTACAGTGTGAGTTGCAAACCAATTTGCACCAACACAATGATGGCCGATTTGCCGATGACGCACTTGAAAAACCATCTGGTGTGACTGTGAGCCGGCTTCTTGGTTGAAAATGGCAAATACGGTGCATAGAACAAAAACAGCAAATATGGTATTGACAAAATGGTTGGTCGAGAGACAATACCTGTTTGAGAAGAGTTATCGTTGATTAAAATCCACGCAAGAACGTTGATTGAAAATGAGATTGATGGACGATATGAAATTGTACTTACAAAATGTGAACAAAATCGGGAAAATGACCCTCTGAACTATATACAAAATGACAGCCGACATTTCGGCATTCTACATTGAATTTGGCACGTGGATAAAATACAATTTTTTTTTCAGATCAATATTTAAAAATTGATTGAATGACGACGACGATTCACGAATAAACAAAAATCAATTCAAAAAAAAAACTTCAATGAACATGTACTGCAAACAGGGGTCAATGATAAAACAGTGTTTCAATGCGAGATGCTAAATAAAAATGCTAAAATTTGGTTCCAATAAGATGTTTAGTTGAAATTGTTACAGTTATTGGTGTTTAGCGGTTCAACTGACAATTTCAATACGTACAAAGTGTACCATTGAAACTGTGGTGCCAACCTGAAAATGTCAAATCTTCTGACATTTGACAGTCATGCCACTGCGCTGACATTTATATTATTTCATTTTTCTCAACAATGGCTACCAATCAAAATTCACACTGACGACATACAGTAGTATCACATCATTGTTTCTTTGTATAAAATAAGATAGAGAGTCGAAAAACTGCTTTAAATCCAGACAACGTGTGCTCAATCGATTCGAATATTGTATATTTAAACGAATCGAAAGTGTGTTTATCGTGAAAATAAACGGCAGTAAACATAGACGATCATTTAAATAATGGGTCGATCCAGGTCACGTAGTCGTACACCGAAAAGGCATCATAAAAGTAAACATCGCAAAAAGAGCAAATCAAAAGACAGAGAACGCGATCGATCCGAAAGACGTTCCATTTCAATTCTATCACATTCAAAATATACACGTGATAGAAGCCATGAACGAAGTCCACGGTCCAGGTAATTAGCATTCAATCAACAACAAGAAGAAAAAAAATTGGTTTGTTAATGAAAATTGACGGAATGAAGACAGGAAAAATCGATTGGATGCATCATTATGAATGTGTTTGTCCAGTGTTTGTTTATGTCAAAACGATAGTAGTTTTTTTGGGTGGAGTCGCCGCATGCATTATTCACTTATCGTTGCAGATAAAAAAAAGTAATAAACAAACGATTTGCCGTAGTTTTTACATTTTTTTCGTTATCTTTTTTCAGAAAACGTTCTGTGTCTGTGTCTTCGAGGAGCAGCAGCGATGACTCTCTGGACTTGCCAAAGCGACGGAAGAAGAGTGGCAGACGAAAATTGGACGAAGTCGAACGTTTGGCCGAAATGGAGCGACAAAGGAGACAGAAAGAAGTTGAACAGAAGGTATTTTGATTATTTTTCATTCGGATTTTTGTTTTGTGTCGAAAAAAAAAACTGGGAAAAAATGACCAATTTTCCATGATATCCACAGACAGTAGAGGAGGAAACTGCCCGCCGGATTGAGTTTCTGGTGAAAAAGCGTGTCGAAGAGGAGCTGGAAAAGCGAAAAGATGAGATTGAGCAAGAGGTAAATCGGCGTGTGGAAGCGGCCAAAGCGCAAATGGAACGCGAAATGATGCTTGAATCAGAAAAACGGCGTGAGGCAGCTCGTTTAGAAGAGCTAAAACAACAGGTAAACATTTTGAAAGGCGTCTCTTTTCAATATTTTCGTCGTCATTTGAGATCAACTTCGATTGAATCGAAGATTGATAATATATTTTTCTTTTATAATTTTCATCTCTCCTCCCTCTTTTTCTCTATTTCTCTCTCTAAGAGATTATTTCTGGTTTGCTTCTTCTTTTTTTTTAATTTTCCTTTAAATCATGCAATTATACTTCCTCCTCATCAAGCCATTCTATTCTATTCAAAATCACCATTTTAAGACTTTTCTCAAACTACATATTCCCAGTACGTAGACAGCCCAAAGCAAAACTAAATGAAACAAAATCACACGGGAAACTGAACGTGTTTGTGTTACTTTATGTGATATTTGCCTTCATTAACATTCATATTTTTTCGGCAAAAGTCCTGTTTATTCACCTTCTTCTGCACATTGTCCTCTGAAATTGTTAACAGTTGTCAAGGTGCGTGACCAATCAATATACCCTGCCAAATTGCTGTTGCTGACTGAATACATGGATTTGTCATTATTTTTTCCATTGACAATTTCGGTATATTTTGAAAGATTTTTTTATTAATTTTCTTTTGTGTCAACACAAAGAGTGGACGATGAAAATAACGATAGGAGATGACATGTTGGCACACTGATTTGTCTTCTCTCTGATTTTGGGCATGTTTTTGACACTATACTTCATATCGTCAATCCACACATAAGTTGAAGCCTTCATTTATCTCTTCTTTTTTTGTTTAATGTTTTTTTTTTGTACTAACCGATATATTTTATAGCGGAATTGCATGCAGTTTTGTTTCAGTTGATTTGATCTCTCTCATCTGTAGAATGTTGTGATAATTTTCTTATTTTTTTTGTGTAACATAACTAGAATTAGCCTTTTTTTAAATTGTTATATTGAAAGAGAGAAAAAAAAAGAACAAAAGCCAAAACAAAAAAAACAATCAGAACATAGACTGAAGCTGAAATCAAATTCAATATTCAATTCTGGAAGCCATAAAATCGCAGCACGAACCTTTTTGGAGACATTCATTCAAAGCGCACGCAATTTTGGTAAACCGAGAGTTAAATTCGATGTTGTTGCTAAACTGACTTCACACATTTTCTTCTATTCGTGGAATATTCAAATGGATTCATTGCAAGCAGGGGGCTTAAGCTCATATTTTTATTTAATGAATGGCCAGTACGCACTGGCTCCGAATACGAGGTTTCAATCTTGTTTCAAGAGAATGTTTTACGTATATATTGAGCACATTTCAAACAATACGAAAAAAATAAACCAACAATCAAAAACTAATTGAGAATCAAAACACACTGGAGTCTCGCAATAAATTGTATTTAGTTCATTTTATTGGCTAAGTTTCATTAATGAATTAACGATTTTTTTAAAACTATTAAATTTTAATGAACTATTTTTTTAAAACATACAAATTGATCAACAAATGTAAGAATAACAGCCCGAAAAAAAAACTTTGTTCATTAGTCAAGCGTAAACGACCCAATGCATCGCAGGTATTATTTAGATCTTAAAAACAAAAACCAAATCTTTTGACTTTGAACAACGGAAAATTCATTTCCAGCCGAATTTTTGTTTTCAATTGTTTTCCAACGGTGAGATTCACAATTTACATTTTCCAAAGAAAAATAATCACAATGGTTTTATTCTTCAGTACACTTTCGATTTAAACAAAAAAAAAACACAAAAGACATACACACATGAACGAACCTTTTTCGGAATGGCTGTTAAGAAGATATGCGTTTTAATTTCTTCTGACTAAGAGAGGTGCTTGCGCTTAAATTTGTTGTTGTGTTTTCTCACTCTTTCATTATGTGGACCGAAATGCACAAGAGTCTTTGGCTTATTAACTTTTTTCTTTTCCATTGGTATCAAACAAACACAAAATAGTTCACTGAATTATCGCTCCCTCATTCAGTGAAATTGAAACCCAGAATCTTCTTTCCGGCTTTCATTTTTTTAAACATTTTTATTTTGTTGTTACACACACAGTTTAACTGTGACAGTTATTATTTCCATTTTTTTTGTTTCCATGATTTGTGCTTATTTTTCAAATACAATTTTTGTTTCATATATATCTATATATTTTAAACACACAGATTCGCATAACATTGTGATTTCTCTTTTTCTGTAGGTAAAATGTAAAGTGAAAATGAAATTAAAGAAAAAAAATAATTGAATTGTGTTTACAAAACAGAACCGCTTAAGTAGGAAAATAAATTGATTATTTTTTTTTCCAGCTCAATTTTACATTGATGTTTATGTCACATTTATTTTCTGTTGAAGACATATCATGGCTTCACGATTTCAACCATTTTCATCAATATTAAACGGTTATTTCATTTGTAGGAAATGGAGCGGAAAAAACGTGAAGAGCTCGAACAAATCATCGCCGAAAATAACAAGAAAATCGAAGAGGCCCAAAAGAAATTGGTAAGTTCTGAAGCCACTCACTTTTTTGAATTTATGCATTCCCGATCAAATTAAAATGTCTTTTCTCATCCCACTTTTTCTTTCCAGGCCGAAGAGCAATTGAGCATAATTGAAGAGCAGAGAAAGATGGATGAAACCAGACAAAAAATGCGTAAAGAGCATGAAAAGCGTGTAAAAGAAGAACAGAAAATGATATTGGGTAAAAATAATTCGCGCCCAAAATTGTCGTTTTCGTTAAAACCAACGGTTTCATAAAGTGTACAAATTAACCAAGATAAACCAAAAAACAAAAACAAAACAAGAGTAAAAGAAAAAAAAACCATTTCGAAAAATACGTGAATTGTTCGAAAATTTTGTGATTCTACTTAAGAATTGTTGAAGAAAAAAAACGTATTCATCGATTAATATGTGCACCCAAAAGTCAAAAAGTCTGTTGTCGTTGAAAATTGAAAATAATTTGTGAAAAAAAAACCTGCAGACAGTTGAAATGAAAGGAATTTTAGGAAGCACAAAAACCACTCTTCGAGCATTTGCCATGCGACACATAACCGCCTCCCCTAAACCTTATGTACCCTTATAGCATATAAACTAAAGTGAAGTATACATTCGATTTGATTATGCCGTTTGAAAATGATATGCATGGAAATTGTTGACCAATTTTCCTGTATAACTTTTTCAATCGATATAATTCCCTATAATCCAAATGACTGTCGATGAAAAACAAAACAAAACTAGAGCGATTCAATGTGGTTTTTTTATGTGCTGAGACAAAGACAAGTGTTTTCGAATCAAATTTTTTCTTTCTCTAATTTTCAATTATTTCCAAGCGTTAGTTTTATTTATTTCCATACATAAATCTAAATCATTAATTTCGAGAAATGAAGACAAGAAAAATAAACAATCACACATTCATAATCATTGAACACTCAATAAAAACGAAAGAGAATATAATTAGCAAGTTATAATATGTTTCATTGTGTATTCTGAATTTAAGATTCTGTTTTCTTAATAGCTATTTCTAAGGTTTTGCAAAAGCAATGCGCTCACATTACGTTTTGGAGCGAGGACAAGAATTATTCACACTCATACATGCTCTTTCTTTTCAATTATCTTATCTAATTGAATAAATTAAGGATTGTGAGAGATGTTTAAAGATTCGCAATTGACTATAATTCCAAATAAAAACGAACATGTCCAATGCCTCAATCAACAACAACAACACAATTTGACTTAACTGTAATTATCTGAAGCAAAGAAAAAATCAATAAAGCGCTTACATCCTATATACACATACACATGGGTGGATTATTTGATTGGTTTGATTGCATGGAATTATACATAATTTTTCTTACATTTCAGGGTATTTAGGCATTTTTCCCTTTTAGAGTGTTATTATTGGTCGTATTTGGAGTAACACCATTTGGTTTTGGGCGACTGTACTTCGAACGCCAGGCTCTTAAGCTCAATCCAACGGCGTAAAAGTGTGAATTATAGTAATTACTATGAATGGGCACTTTTGATGGCATTCTACTGAGTTGTGAGCTGCTTTGACTCAAATACTTGCGATAATCACTTGAGTTGCCCATTGGTTTTTCTTTTGGTGCCATCGGTCTGGCTGATTTCGATAATGTGTTAACTGGTTTCAACTTGGCTCGTATGCTAGCTACTCTTGGTGTCTCTTGTGCTGGTTTCCGAGGTGATGACTTGTTTGACTCAACTGCCGAATCGTTTGGTTCAATATCTGGACCACATTTATTTCCAACACATTTGATTTTGCTTTGATCGTTCTCCACCACATGAGTGTCTTCAACTTTCTTCTCTTCTGGCTGAGCAATAGACATCAATTTTGGGCCACAGCTGGCATGACGACGAGAAGAGTCGGGCGCTTTGATTGCAGGCTTTCTACCACTCAGCGGATTGTCCTTCATTTCAATGTGCTTCGACGGATACCGTGTTAGCGCTAAATATGAATGCAATCGCCCCGCTAACACCTTGTCATTTTTCATTACATTCTCCTTATTCGACTTATTGAGTGAAGCAAACGCTTGATTTTTCCGCATCGAATTCAATGAATTATTCTCGTTATTGTCGGAGAAATCAATTAGCAACGAACGTGGTGATAATATTGGTGTCTTCTCATTCTCACCACTGAGCAGATCCCGAACTGGTTTCACTGACAGTTGCGAAGTTTTTCGCTCGATTTTTGATTTTACCTCCGGTTTTGGCTTTTCTTTTTTTCCGACGCCGTTTTTTGGCACCACTTGTGTTCCTTTCAAAAATAAATTGAGGCCTAAATAAGCTGGAGCAGGTGGGATTACCTGTCGGTAAATCAATTCAAAATTGCCAGTCGATGCTTTTGGATCGTTTCGGTAGTCGATCACAACTGAAAAAATATGATGATTAATTGAAAGAAGGTAGAAAATGTTTGATGTTTCTTTTTCTTTTGGTTTTTGGCAAAACAAAGATTTTTTTTTAGGAAAATCCATTTTCGCACAAAAGAGAATAGAAAAATGAAGTAAAATTTTGAATTATCGAAGGAAAAAAATCCATTTCTCTGTACCTTTTATAACATCTTCTAAACACTGAGGACACAATCTGGCCGTCACCGACGTAGAAGCACCCAAATCCGGGCTAGCATTGATTTCAATCAGCCACGGTTGACAATCTTCGGAAATCATAAAATCGGCTCCATATAATTCAAATGTATTTGGCCTTCGGTCCATTGTGTCTTGCGAAGCCAACATTGTTCCAATCAATGCTCTTTGCATGCCCGGATAAATGCGCTCCGACCACATGCTCGCTTTTCCAATTTGCCTTAAGTACGCTTGAAATGTATGGCAGTCCCACATATTTTCTCGTGGTAACCGTTCGTCGCGCTTACCATTCACATAGCGTTTCTGAACGGCATGATTCGTTAAATGCACCGATTCATGGAAATTTACCAAATCGTATTCCTGCGAACTGAATCGTAGATAACTCTCTTTATACATCCATATAACAAGCGGTTGTACGCTCGTAACGAGCAGCCATTGCCTAATGTCGAATTTACAGTTATGTATTATCATGGGCCGTTCTGAAAATGATTTACAATATGTAAGGGAAGAAGAAAAAAAAACAACTGTAATTGTTCCACTTTAAATCGCATAAAACGAAAATTAATGCAAAGAAAATAAATTAACAAGGACATAAAAAGCAATTAGTGGCTACAAATGGGCGCTCGCACTGTATAAATTACATAGAATTGATTTATTTCAATTGTTCATGATTTTAAATAATTTATTTATAGTACACAACATGATTTTCGCAATTACCTATGTATTTCTGTACGACATAGCGTCCTTTATTGACGACGGCTGGAGAAACGTGTGCAATGATTTTCTTGATATCGCTCATAAGTAGAATTCCACGGCCACGACACCGATTTGAAGGCTTTACGATCCAGATATTTAGCATGCCATCGAGATTGCTTTGAGGCCAATGCGTAGATATTTCCTTCAAACATTGCTTGCATTCGTCCATTAAACAGTTCCATTGCATTAAATCATCGGGCATTTGAAAGGTTAAATGGTCTTGAGTAAGCATTTGGTAGTGCATCAAAAATAGTTCCCATTCATGATTCCAAATTCGTTCCACATCTTCGTCAATATCCAAATGCTGGCAACTTCTGACATAGGCTTTGCTCTGTTTCAGCGCAAAATGAATGCTTGTTATTGGAATTTGACCGTTTTCCGTATAAATACAATCGGATTCCTTGTTTTCGTGACAATCCACCAGAAATCGGAGCATCGACATGCAAGCTGTCAATCGGTAATCATCGATAAACTCTTGCAAATCGTCCTGATTCCATGCATTGTAGCTACGCGGATAATATGTTTCCGATTTACCTTCCTCGAAAAACCAGTGCAAATCTCGTAACACATTGCACAGACCTTCTTTGGTGGTGAATGGACTTTTATGGAATTTGTTTATCGTTAAGTTTGCATTTCGTGCCATGTCAATCCAATCGGATTTTTCTTTACGCGCCGACCAAAGCAGGTCGATCGGAAAATGCTCTATAAACCGTGACATAATATTGCGTTCGCACTTTTGAATATGCTGCCGACGAGTTTCGCCCGGGCGCCGCTGGGGCAAATGTTGAGCCAAATCCTCGAGTATCACCTGACACGAGCCATTCACAACAGAACGACGGTGTATATCAAGCTTCTCAACCCAGCCACGCTGCACTGAAGAGTTTAAATAAAATGGGTTAATGAATTCATTGAAAGAATATACTCAAGATTTAAAAAACGGCCTCTTTCTAGTAAAATTTATAAAATAAAGAAATTTCCCTACCTAAACTCTTGCGAATCGAATAGAAACAACCGCGAATTGTAAAGATTTTATGATGTTTCATCGCATCTTGTGCTTTTCGGCGCAGCTCACTCAACCGTTCGGTGGTTATCCAATTTCGACGCTCTAAATACGAAACGCGCGGTTTCAATGTTGATTGAATGCCTTCATCTATGCTGCTACACAGGCATGTACTTTCCGAATAACCAGTACAACTGGAGTATGTCATTGTTCCTTGGGTTTTGTACACATCGGGAATGAGATCAAGCGGATTTGTGTCTTCGACGTTAGGTTTGACTTCAATTTTTTCATCACTTTCTTTGGTTTTGTCTTTTTCATCATTTTCATATTTTCGATCATTGACATCGTTTTCTTTATTTTCGCCAATAGTTTCTTCATCAATTTTTCCACCTTTGACCTCATCACTTTTGTCTTTCACCGTGTCATTTTCATTTCCATTTCCATTCGGAGGTGATTTGCCGACTTTAAAATTAGTTGGGTCGCATTTTTGAATCGGGTCAATGCGAGGTGAGCGTGGAGATGACAGTGTGACGGCTGTTGTAGCTCTTTTTACCATTTTTGACGGTCGACTATCCGGATTCAATGTCCTTGATCCATTTGCCGAAATTGTTTTCGGTTCAATTGGTTTTAATTTTGCTGTCATTATTCGGACTGTGATTCGATTTTCACAATTGAAACATGAAACTCGAAACAATGCCAACAATTTGTATTGAAATCGAATGAGCACAACAGGGAAATCTTGAATCAATGCGAAAAATTGAAAGTTATCAATTCACAGTTGAATGGCTGCATTCGGAACAATTGCTGTTAAATTTCGATCAAATATGCCCAATAAATCAGAACGACAGGAACAATTCACAGTTGAAAATGTACACAAATAACACACAGTTCAACAAATCGCGATTACGAATTGAAAGAAACGGCGCGGAAATGCTCTAATCGTTTTACGTGACTAACTCCGACTGAACTCCTGGGAAAATAATTCGAAAAATGGTACCGCACAAAAACGGAAACTCATGCAATAACATGAACTGAACGTGAATGAAAAAAAAAATGAAACGGAACAAAGTTTTTTTTTCTCTTCATTGCCGTTTGCCCAACAGATGAATGCAATATGCGAGTGGAAAGCAATGGCAACAGCCCCAACAACAAGAACAAAAACAACAGAAAATTTTAATTAATTCAGTTTTGTTCAGTAAGTTGTAATAAGTCAATGACTTGTATCTGTGCCGTGCCAATTGTAAATCAAGAACTCAATTTCTAAAATGTTTGCTCCCGAATTTACGACAAAATATAACCATTTTGAATGACGACCGAAAATGTTGCTGTACATTTTTTTTTCTTCGTGTGTATTTGGGTGAGTGCTAAGTTCAACCACCATTTCACCCCGACCACGTCAACATAAACACAATTCACCTGCTAACGTCGAATAGCAACAACACCGATTAATTTCTGTATATGAATCAAATCAAATCCCTCAGCAAACATGCATATTTTCACAGCGAAATATGTGTGTCGTAGGCAGAAATTAATCGACGCGCTATCGAACAACCACAAAACCTACATCAATCCATCATCGTCTTTAACAAATGAACAAAAGAAAAAAACAACAGCGGCAGCGGCAGCAGTAGTGACGGCAGCATTGCATGCATATGAAAATAAGGAAATAAAAGGATATTGATTGTAATGCGAAGACGGGCACCATGGAAAAATCGCGCTCCGCATCATCACTTGATCAACATATTTTCTGTGATTATTGTTTATATCGGCTGTGGTACATATATAGAGGCATGCGATAGAGAGGAACATAGCGAGACAGAGAGAGAGAGAGAGAGAGAGAGAGAGAGAGAGAAAAGAGAAAAAAGAAGGCTCGATGAAGGTTACGAATGTTTGCTCAATTGTGTATGACACGCATACAATCGTTTCAAAACGCTATAAATAGATCACCACCGAATATATAAATGCGAAGGGAAACTGGAAAAATTCAATAGTGCAATAACCTGATTATGATGACCTATATATACCGATGCAAAATTATCCTTCTTCCTAGTTTCGCTTTTTTTTCTCCCTCGTCTCCGTTTCGAATATGTTTTGTTGCATTTCCATAGTAAATCGGTCGTTGTGCAACGAACCAACTTCCCGAAACATGTACATATGTGTACAGTATACACACAACTCGTGGGACTTTCTTCCAATTCTAAAAAAAAATATTGATTTATTTATAAACAAAAATTCCGTACATAATATAAATTGGATGAAATTCGCGCATTTTTTTTCCATAAAAAAATTCTATAAATATATATAACAGCACCCACTTGGTAGTGCAATACGCAATCCGTGTTTAGATATACAAATACACGACCATATGTCAATTCCGCATTTGAACGTATCGCCAAGTTTTGCGGAACCGTTGTTATTTTTGTCTGATACTCATGCAGCAAAACCAAAACACTTCGTTCCACACGTTCAACACGTTTCAAATGCGCAAATACTTCCAATATTTCTTATTCGACTGACTGAAGTCTTATTTGAGGCACATATGAGTCAAACATTTGCATGAAAGAGAACTTAAAATCTCAATCAGACCTGAAATTCATTCGAATTTGGAATCAATTCAATTATATCAAAATTAAACGTCTTCTTTGGCTAAAATAGCAATTCTTCGTATGAAAAATAGAACAGTTCCAATCCACTAAAATTTCGTTCGTTTCTACAGTATCAAAAGTCATCGTTTCAAAAGTGCGGCTGTCATTCGATTCGTGCCTGCAGATGGCGCGACGACGTCACCTTTTGGAATATAAACACAAACATAAAGTTATATAAACTCCAAATAAATTTTTTTTCCCTAGTTGCAAACCAATCAATTTTTATCAGTAGGCCAATTGAAAAAAAAAAGTTTAATTGACCCGATTTTCGCTCGCATTTGTCAAAACAAAGTCAACCTAAATTACAAACAAGAAAAAAAGAAGCAAGTGCTGGTGATAATTTTTGGCATCGCATAAAATCAACGTCAAAACATCGAACGACATCAACAATACGAGTGAACGAAGGAATAAAAAAAAACTGTTCGTTTATACTTCCAATGAACTGGCTGTCTAACTTGTGCTGCTGACAACATTTTCCATGAGTCTGTCTGAAATGTCAAAACGAAACAAACGTAATACACATACTTCATAATAGTTGAACATTAAATTAGCTACCATTCGGAATAAAAACACACACACACATACTGAAAAGTCACTGAGCTGAGAGCGAGAAGCGAACAGGCACCAAATTTCGACGAAAACGTACCGAAAACTTTGAGAAATTTGAATCAATTGGAAAATCAAGTGCTGCGAAAATTTGGATCGAAGTCAAAAACGAGTGGCGGTGACAGAAGCAGAGCAAAATCATGAGCACACAGTGAATAAACAGACAGTGAAAATATAAAATACACACAGTGCAAGAGAGCGATAGAAAGAGACGACCCGAAAAATTGAGAAGTATAGCTTTTCGATGTGAATCAAATTGATTGATGCGACGAAGAAAAGCGCGGTGTTTTTGTGGTTTATTCAGTTTCATCGTGTGAAAATCCCAAATATTCATAACAACTTTAGTCCAAAATTTAAAGCGAAATTGCGAACAAAAAAAGTAAAAAAAGAAAAACAACAACATCGCCAAAAGGAAAAAAAGAATACGCCGCGCAATTGTTTTCAATTGCTTGATATTGTTTCTGTGATCGTGACAATAATGGATATAATTGCCAGTGTTGAAAAGTTAATTTGTAATTAAATTCGATGTAAAGATAGATCGAGTCGTTGGAATACGGTTCAAACGGTGAGTGCAATAGAAAAATGAATTGTGTGTAGCACTTATTTTTTTTTTGATTGGATCAAAAAATTCTCGGGAATATCATCTGCTGCGTGAAATCAAGGAAATGATTCATTTTGGGTGAAAAGATTTAGGACGTTGGCAACAGCCAAAAGAAAGCATTCTGCATCGAATCAAGGCTATTTGTTTTGACCTGAAAACGAAATGCGACAACTTAGAACACCGAACAGACATTTGTTGACAATTGCAGTTAGCATTACGTGCATTCTTATTGTGTGCATATGTTTATAGGTTGTGACGCAATACCGAATTGTTTCGGTAAACAGAGCGATAATTTTAAGTATAAATTCGATTGAATCGTCCGCTTGGTCGTCTATGTTTGTGTGTGTATTTGTGTCGACATATCGAAAAGAACATATCAGTTTTGAAGGTGAAGTTTCATTCATTCACAACGAACGAAATGAGAGAGAAAAAAGAAACACACGAAGATTCAATCCAAACAAACGAGTCCCCAAATAAAACGGCACGTACACCGTACAACACCTGAAGAATGTTCTTTTTTTCTCCTTCGTATAGTTCTTTTTCGGTTGGGTCGTACAACTACATCTTCATTTGTCCGTTCTTATGGTTGAATCTCGCGTTTTAGTCTCTCTCTCCCTCCCGTTTTTCTTTTTCATCACGTCATTTGTTCAAACTTCTTTTCATCAAATTCAATTGTGTATTAAATTCAAATCTACATATTCGAATAGTTTTTTCCTTTTTTCGTCATCACCACCGAACATCAGACGAGTATAGAAGCCGTAGCATTAAGACGAAACCTACATACAACACAGCACACGAAAAAAAAATCGGTCTGACAAAAACGAAAACAAGTAACAAAAGAAGAACTCTCTCACACCGTGCACACACAGACAAATGAACACACGCAATGGCGCGGTGCGCGCGAACGAGACCCAGCCACAAAACGAAAGAGACACAAATAACTCATCCGATGTTACAGCTCAATAGAAATCATATCACATTGCTCTTGAATTTGTTGCCCGTTGTTATTGTTCAGCATTTTTTTTCTCGCTCTTCGTCTCTCCCTCTTTCACCCGACACACACACACGCACACATTTTGTTGTGTTTCTTACCTTTAAAAGCATCGTTTTTGTTGTTGTTGTTGTTGTTTGCTCTGCACCAAATTAACTCTGGCAATAGAAGATATGGTGAAAAGAAAAAAAGAATCCGAATCGAAATTAAGTAAGAAATGAATAGAAAAATACAGGAAAAGATGAGAAAGAACACACAGTAAATTAATAACAATAATAATTATTATGAATAAAAATTCCAAAAGCAAAAAGAAAAACGAGGAAAAAAATATCTGCCCTGTTTCCAATCTTCAAACAAGAACAACACGCACGCCAAATGTACTCGCATGCAATCCATCAAACCAGAAGCATTTCTTGTTCCAAGCAATAGAAAAAATTGAAAGAAGAAAGCTAGATAGGCAGAATTGTTTGCAGCCTGATATGCAGAGAAAAAGAATATATTTCACGAAAAACGCTGCCTTCAAACAATGAAACTGTTCATGCGGCGTCACTTATTGGTCCCTATGTGCAAATTGAAACTGCTGTACATATATTTCGCAGTCGTCTCTTCGTGTATGTGCTGTGTTTTGTTTTTGCTTCTTCGCCACCGAGAGAGAGAGAGAGAGAGATATCATAAAACAACTGCTAGTCAATAGAGAGGATGAGTCAGTGTTTTGTTTAGCGCCTCAAACTACACACGACCATTTTTATTACGGAATCTCAAAGCAAACATCCATACAATTTTTTTTTCTCCCCTGTTTCACCTATAACAAGTTCTTTTCGTTTTTTTCTGCCGTACTGTTGCCTGATGCTGCTGCTGCTGGTCGTTGTTCTTGTGTCGTAAAATAGGATTTAACTTAGTTTCGCTCAGTCGATAGGACTTTAGTTTGTTTACTGGAGTAATGTTTGATCCGTAGTAGCCCGAATCGTACGAAGAGCGAGTGGAAAATTTAATGACATCCATGGCAAGATTAGATTTATTTGTATTTTTGTTACGATTGCGTCATTATATGCTTAGCGGAGAGACTGTGTGTGCGCTGTGCGAGTATCACAACAGCAAACATTGAACTGAATCGATAATACACAACACTATCGACCGTTCTGACTCAATTACCCATAATATCTCGCGAGACACGAGTCTCTTGCGCTCTTCCTATCTCTTGCTTACGCCCGTTCTGTACGCATCGCCCCAAAAAATAAACTCATAGACAAAAACATTAAGTACATTTCGGAAGATATGAAGAAATCACGCGGTAAATAGAAACTTTGGTACTTGCGTACTTAGTTCAATGTGTATATATAGGCGTAAATGCTGTTCCAACTAGAACATGACTTGCAGCAAACAAATGAATGAACGAACGAAACACACCGATCCATCCTTGATGCCGTTGAATGAGAAGCCGTTGATTCTTTTCGACCGAAATTGGACAACCAAAACAGAATTTAATCGATGTTTCGACAGGATATGTATAAATTTCTCTCGTTGCCGCAGTGCGTGTTTGGTGGAAAAACAAGCGCTACTGTCCTATTTGGTTGACTGATATATTCGATGGTAGTAGTAGATGCCTCTAGAAAATGGCTCCAACTTTTACGGCTATTTATATGTCTGCATAAAAATTGGCCAATCTCCATTTAGCTGGTTCATTAATCTCTAACTCGTTCGTAGTCGCACTCTGGTCCTTACTTCCCTTTTGTGATAAGTGGCCGAGTTTTTTTCTCTCTCTATTTTATCGTGTCACTGCATGACATTTTGTGCCAATGCCAAAATTGCCACATCCGCATTTTATGTCACAACCATTTTCTGAGACTGACCATAAGCGAAATGTGTGTATGCGTATAAATGATGCTCTCATCTATTCTGTCAATATATTCAATCGTACTGTATTATGATGCCGCTGGCCTGGTGAAAAGCTGCAGCTGTGTATGTGTACATACGAGCGAAGGGAGAATAATTATCATTGAGGATGGCAGAAGACGTTCATTTTCGGTCGACATACTTGCAGTTTTGCGTGCAATGTTTGTGCTTTTTATGTAGTCAACACAGATTAGGATAATGTTTCGATAACATACAAATGGTGTGATTAGATTCGGCTCGCAAAGCTGAGTGTATTCAATGTAAACACATCCAGTAGATAGAGACAGAGAGTTTATATGAGCTGAGCAACCAGCGACTCAATTTTCCATCAAAACTAAGTAACTCGTATTTCATTAAATCCAAACGAGGTGTAGTGTGTGTGTGTGGATTGTATTGTTTGTTTTCGCTCACCACACAATATTTCATATTATTTTGTTCCGTCATTCTTATCAATTTGGTATTTACGATAAGGGAATTTAATTCCGCAAGACGCACACAAAAGTAGAACAAAAGCCGTATTTACTTCGTTTTGCCATTTCGGAACCATTAACTTTGCGGAATGAAATATCCAACAGATGAATTCCAATCATCCTTTTGTTTTCTGACAGCCAAATATTACGTAGTTTTTTTGTCTTCTTATCTGCTGACACAGAGTAAAGAGGCTGTGTTTGGGTTGACATCTCATCAACACAAAAAAAGACTACATCCAATGTGCTGAATGCGATCTTTTCTTTGTGCAAAATCCGAGCAGAAAAACCGAAGTCGAACCGGAAAAAAAACAAGAAGAATTGGGCAACCACTCATTTTTAATCGCTTCGCCTATTTTTATTAATAATTCAGGTGTTGTTGTTGTTGTTACCTTAATTGGCTGTTGTTTACATGTGTCGTGTGTATGTGTTTCGGCTAGATGATCTTTCCATATTACAATGTTTTCATTTTTCGGAATAGCAAGGGGGAAGAAAATCACATTTGCATATAAAATGCATTTAGCCGAGTCTGTCTCTGTATTAAAGTCAATTTCATCGTCATGTCATTTACTGCGATGCTAATAAAGTGCACACAACATTGAGAAATCTATTCAGTGTCTAACGAGATGTGCGATGCGCCAATGTTGATGCGTAACACACATACATGGGCAAATACAGTGTTTAAAACACATGCACCCACTGAACGAAATGTGACTGTGCATCTGATAGGAACGGTAATTATTCAAGCACAGCCTCGCAATGACACCAATTTCGGTATAAGACACATCGACCGAATTGGGCTCATTTTATGTGAAGCCTTGCGCTGTTGTCAACACATATACACAAAGATGGAAAGAGAGCAAGAGACAGAGAGATAGAGCAAAAGAGAGATAGCGAGAGGTAGGGAGACTTCATGAAAATTTAACGTATGGTACCGTTTCTTCCCACAAAATTAGTTTAATTCAAAAAGTGCTATCTTATCGGATGAGCCGCTTTTCAATGATAATAATAATCAACCCATATGAAAACTATAACTTCATAGTTTCAAATTCAGGCCCGCTGGGTCAATGTGTGTATGCGCTCGGTTGCCTTTTGCATGTGACGATGGCTGTGTCGGAACATAACGCGAATTTGTACGACAACACGAGCAAAAACACAAAACAAAAGAATCAACGACGTCAAAACAATGACGATTTATGTGTGAGCACAAATACGGAAGAAAATTCCGAATGCACACTCGAATGCGCATTTCCCAACACATCTTTGCATATCACGCCATTCTCATTCTGAAGTACAGCCGTTGCTATTGCTATTGCCGCGGCTGCTTCTATGTCTCTGTTTGTTGTGTTTGCTTGTTTGTTACTCGTTGCATTTTCTTCTTCCTACTTATACATGCTTTTCATTTTGATTCTTTAGTTATTCGTGTTGTTTTTTGCCGTGCATTTGCATATCACATTTTGTCTCTCTCTAACTGCCACCGAAATCGCAGTGTTTTTGGTTTTTTCGGTATATAACTCTTTCAGTTTTTCGATCTCTAACATTGAAGATGTTTACTATATTTTTCCATTGACCTCGACAAATAATTAGCATTTACTTCGTAATTTTTTTTTCTCTTCACGCCACTTTTCACTCACAACCGTACACAATTTCATTACATTTCATTTGCATTCGTTGAATTGTTATTGCTGTTTTCTCTCTGTTCGTATACGACGACCTAACGTTGTTTTAGCTATTGTTTATAAACATTTTATCAGTGTTTACCTCGATGTTTCGTACGGTTTCGTACACTTCAATTGAGTTGACTGTGTATTGAGCGATTAGATACACTTTACAATTGCTCTTCATTAACAATTAATCTTTCGAGGTTGAGTCAACTAATTCGATTTCAATTCAACGTTTCGAGCGACGTTGCAATTTAAGCAGCAAAATTTATTGCGGCAGTGGGAGAGTCTTAGTTTGGCGCGAACGCAAGGGGATTTTCGCGTAGCGAGTATTAAAATCGACGCAAATTCATAAAGTACATTATTAAACCACTTAAATATTAAAATAAATTAATATGTAACAACGGTTCGGCGAGTGAGGAGTGAGTCGCATACACAAATATCACCAGATGGCTTTTTGCCATACGGATTTTCTTTTAAATTATGACCCTCTCCGGACAAATTTTCCGTACAAGATCCTTTTCACTACAAACTATCACATTCCTTTCTGAACCCAACTAAATGCCATCTCATTTATTATCGGATATGGTAAATTGTGTTCTAAGCCCGAAACGACGCGCACATATTTAAACTGCATAAAGCTAAAGTAACCTCAATAAAATGTGCGTTGCATAATTTTTGCCATAAAAAAATAGTAGGGCAAATTTGTGATGCTGTAAAGTTCTGTCGTTAAGTTTCAAAGAGTCTTTCGAAAGGCGCACCTTCTTCTCTCTTTATCGTAACTATTATTGTAAGCCAACTTGCCGAAGGTTTTTTGTCGACAAATCTCTTCTGACTGACATAGTTTCCAATATCCATGGCAAAAGCAACTTTAATTTGGTTTCAACATTCTTTTTTTCTCTTCTCGTTACAGTGCTTCAATCATATTTGCTCTTTGGAATCAGTGCAGTCACAGCTAATGCTTTTTATATTGTGTTTATAATTTTTTTTTCTTCGCGTTTTTCCCGTTTTCCTTGAATTACTTTTCGGTTCAAACCCAGAGAAGAAAAAAAGAATTCGTCTCATATTTTAGAATTTATGTTTTATGTAACAGTGAGCAAAAAATCGGAACACAAATAATCCGGTTTTTATTTCTATGTGCCTCATCATTTTTATCCGTTGAAATCATTATTAATTTTATGTGCCAGAGCCAACAACACAAACCGCAGATTTATTTTAATCAACGATTTTACAACATTTTATTTGCCAAACATCATCTTGACCAACACATCATAAGCTGATATTTGTTTTCCACGTTCGTTGCCGTTGCCGCTGCTGCTAAACTGAAACATCACAATGGCTTGGACAGAGGTGAGTTAGATCTTTTTTCATCTTGTTTTTATTTGGTTCTAGCGAGAAAAAAACCGCTTCATTTTGGCAGTTTGACGTCTGAAATTTGCGTCTGGGTGAATGAGGGAAAACATGGTCAAATAAAAACTGTAACATGCTCTCGAAATTTGAAATATGATTCACCGACGTTTGTTGTTGTTGTTTTTTTTCTCGATGGAACTGTCGAAAAGGGAAAACAATTGCAAATTCCCGAGATAAAATGCAATTTTAGCGGTTCGATTGTACAAAATGCAATAAGCCGCCTACAGCGCGCACGACTGGTCATTAAACAGCGAGCATTTTATCTATGCTTTTGCATCCCAGTGGGAATGGAACGATTCGATTGGGGGAAACAACTAGAAAATGTATACCTTGAACCAACACACACACACATAAGCCGACATAGAGAGAAAATGCCAAAATCGAATAAACCAAACGGTTCAGTTCAATTTAGGTGTCGCACTGCAGCAAAAGTACTTGTTTGCTTTGGCACCAAATCCCAGCTATCATTGCATTCTTGGCCACCATTCGCAGATATGCGCGTTTTTGCTGATCCCCATTTTACGGGTTTAAAATGTTTTAAAAGCAAACAAAATCTGTTGTGAATGCTCTCAAGCGGCGAGGTGTTTCTTCGTTTTGTTGAACTGTATTGTGGTAGCAGCCACTTTTTGCATCCCTGCCATGTCAAATTTGAAAGCAGGTCACATGTTTGTCGAGCCGAGTTTAATTAAACGGCTTTTTGGCAATGGTGGCCTCCACTCGTTCATTATCCTGTCTGCGAAAACGATTTCGGTCGATAATGCGTTGGTTTCGGAAGTCAAAAATTGGAAATGGGTTTTCTCATCAAATAAAATCAAGCGAGAAAAAAAAGACTAATGTGAAAATATATAATGAAAAATTCCAATGGCGTGGGAATAAAATGAGGTTCATGGTAATATTGTGTTGAACGCTCATCAAAACAAAAGTTAATAACGTCCTACATTGTTTAATCACATTCATTAAATATGTCACTGTCATTCAATCAATTTTTCATCGTCGCAACATCATTGTTGCCGTTGCGCGAGCTCAACTCTTTGAGGGAGAGAAAAGTAAGTAGCCTCGCACAGAAAAACCAACAATAAGGTTGAACTGATTAAAGGAAGAACGACGATTCGGGTCAAGGTTATATCAACATGGTTTTTGTTTGCATTTTCTTGTGTGCAGAAATTTGTGTGCCTTGACTTGCATGCAAGATGCAACTGCTGCCACTGCTGCTACTGCTGTTGCTGTACAATCATTTTCTCGACTTTTCCGCCCAACTTTTCCACATAAACTGAAAGCAAAAAATTTACCAGAGATATAAAAATATGTGTGTATGTGAATTTCGATACAAAAAAAATTTTCCTTCGCCTGTTGTTGTACATATTTTGCTGTGTTCTGTTTGCTGGTTTGGTGCTATTGGTGCTATTGCTGCTGATTTTATGGGTGAGTCGTGTACATATCGGGCTCGCTGGAGATACGCAACGATTATACATGCGCCAACATGGGAATCACATGTACATTTTGCGAGTGATGCCATCGTTATGATGCTCAATACGAAACCGTAATTGGAGCTGTTGTTGTTCTCTCGACAAACACGCTCGCTGACCCACTAACACGATCTCACTAATTTATTGCAATGGCTTCGAATTATGCGAAATGCACTAGTAGTACACCCATCTCAGTCTCTCTCTCTCTCTGCATCCCATCGTAATACTATGTATTCATTCTTCATTGCTACTGATGCAATTCCCAATCACACTCACTTTGCGCATCAATAAAAATCAATTGGAAATGTTTTAGTTTTATATTTTCAATTCGTTTGAACAGCATTTGTGCCTTCCGCGTTACGATGAGAGACATATGGATTCTGGATGCAGTCAACATTGTCGCTATTTTGGGTCGGGTTATGCAATCATAAAATAGTACGGTTCGCAAATGATGTTGTTGTCGTCGTCGTCGTTTGTTTTGTGTTTTGGGCGATTATTCAGTAGTTGTCGTCGCTAGCGACCGTACACACCCGAATGCGGAAGTCATTTATTGTTGAATTGTGCTTTGTTCAGCTGTCATTTGCTGATGATATGCACTTTATTTTTTCCGCCACATAAAATTGATGCAACCGATTGTTTCTCGTGTTCGTGTATGGCCATTTGTGTAACTAAGTAAACCGCAACCGAAATCCATTCCAAGTGTTCGCTTGATTGATTGCGCTTTTTCAATCGATTCGGAATCATCAATCGCTCTGTCCCGCCAGTTCGAATATGGTAATGATTCAGTATCTGCCCAACCGTATTTTAGAGGCAATTCATTCGAATACACACGCGCAATGTTCAAGTTGAAAATAACAATCTCATTAGATGTATCTCAATTTAATATGCGTTGCAGAGAGGCAACAAAAAAGAGGAATTGCTTCGGAAATAAAGTGTCATTAATTTAAATGGCGCAAAATGAATGTGCGAGTGTCGTTCGGCGAACGACAAGAGCAAAAGCGACAGCAAATAGAAAAGATAGAGAGCGAAAAAACTTGAACCGAAGTCATTATGAGCTTTATTATCTGTTCGTCTATTTTACTGCTGCGATTCCAAACCATTGTTATATATCCTTATTCTTGTTCTATTTTTTTCTGTTTGCATGAAAATTCAAACTTTTTCCATTTTCTCAAGTGACACAGACCATCAAGAGCAAAAAAAAATTGAGACGAAGAATTGCGATTGAATGGTGTGCGGTTTTTGTGAGTTTGACGCAATCGCGGTTAAAAAATCGTGGAAAACGGGAGACAATGAAATGTTGATGCGGAATAAAATTGAAGGTTTTAATGTGGCTGAAAGGGAGAGAGACAGAGCGACATAAATACGAAAAGAGACAGAGAGAGAGAGAGCTGGGCTTAAAATTATGTGTCAGTTCAAATTTAACGGCGTCACCATGTCATCGTGCTATGAAATATTATGGGTCAGGCAAATGATGTTGGTGCAGGTTGTGGTTTTTGCACCAAGACTCAGATGAAATTGACATTACGAACAAAATGATGACATTTTCATATGTGTTCATGCTCTCAAATATCACACATACTCTAGTTGTGCCATTGCCAGCGCGACACCCAGACACCTCGTCACATCTCGATAAACTGGTACAAACGCAAATATCTGGCTGATATTGTGTGTTTGCCATTCGTGATTTATCGTAGAAATTATGGACTAGTGAAGTGATGAAATCCGAACCAATTTATTATGTGTGAAGGCTCTTTCTCTCTCTTGCTTGCTCATATGCAGTAATATTCCACTCGTCCAACTGAACTGACCTAGAAATTCTTGTGTAAAGTACTTGTCAAATTGGGTTAATGCAAACAAGAGCGATGCTACTCTAATTGTAAACTATCCCTCAAACACATCAAGTAGATAAACAAATCCACCTCGACTCATTGGAGACGACCGAGTTTGAACTTTGGAACTATTTACCGATGATGATGATGATTCATTCAGGACTCTTGTCTCCTTTGAATAGCTCAAGGCGATATATTCGACATTTTTATGGTCAGTTCCCTATGAGTCATCCCATTGCTTTGGATCGATAATAACTTGATTCGAAAAGAGTTTAAATTTCACAAGGCAAAGAGAAAAAATCTCTTGTCTTCGGCACATCGCATGCAAACCGGTTGCAAACAAGGGAACAAGCTGCTTGCGTTTGTTGTTTTTTCTTTCTTCTTTAAATTCAGCTCATCGCATTCGTGATATCGTTTTTGTACTCGATGATGCAAGCAAACAGCACGGTGTTCGCAAACGATGTGTACGCAACTAAATACACCGTTCAAAGTGATTTTGTGCGCTTGCGGTTACGGTTGTGTTATTTTATTTCTTCTCGTTTGATAAGGTGCGCTTTGTTTTAGCGATCGTAGGTTGTGTTTGAACGAAACTTTTGTGAATTTTTTTGCATTCAAAGTGATTTTAATTTTAATATCACCGAAAATTCAGTCGAAGTTGATAAGTTCACAGAGGTAAAAAAAATTCTGCCAAATCAAGTGGGAAACGAAAGAAAAAAAGAATCAACGACTTAAAAAGAAAGCTAAAATAAAGAAGGTTTTTAGCTCGATTCTTCGCAATAACATTTTTAGTTCACGTCATTGTGTTTGCTGCAAATTCGATTGACTTTTGAAACAGAGTTTCATGACTTGTGTGCATTTCATTTTCTTCGTTTTCGTGAAATCAGATGCGTTTATTTATGGAAAAAAGTCCAAATTAAATGGCACAGTCCTGAAAAAAAGAAACCATTCTAAAGAAAAATCTTCTATGCGAACGAGCTAAGCAAGTTTTTGTTTTTCAGATCAAGAACGAGCGAATCGGTTGGCAAAAGAGAAAGAAAACCCGTTTCGAATTCTTTTGATTTCTTCACAAAAAGGCACACAGAGAAATAATATCTGCATTAGTAAACGGTTCACGACATAATCGCGCGCACACAGCCAATAACATTCGATCATATGAAGATTTTTTTTTATGAACTGTGTCCGTTCATAAAATAAACAAAAATAAAAATTGCATTGAAATCAAAAAAATGAATACGTGTGTAAAATGAGATTTAGTTTGATGTCTCAATTTCTTCTTCGTAATTTTATCCACTTCGATTCCATTCACACTGTATTCCATTGCCATCGCTAAAGACATTCCTCAAACAGTAAATTGCCTGAAATGCCACACGGCAAGAACGTCGCATTCCAATCGATGCTATCAAAAATGTGTGCACAAAAATCAATGTTTAACATTACATCGAAAATATTTTTCGTTCACATACTTGTCCCGCAGTCTCTCTCTCTCTCTATCGCTCTCACTTCCCACCGTACAAAAGAGCACACGTTGATCGTATGTCATGTCGAATATAATGCGAAGCGCATGATGTTAAATTCTATTAGAATACACGATAGAATGACAAAAACAACAACGACAAAACAATGCGATAGAGAGATTTACCGTTTTCTCTCATTCATTATACGGTGTGTGTATGTGTGCGGTGTACGGTGTGATGCGGTATATATGTGTGTAGCTTTCTTCGTATTGTGTAAAAATTTATGTTCTCGGCGTTCCCGTTCAGCGACAATAATCGTCGGTATTATTCAACTAAAGCCAAAGAGTGTACCCAAATGGCAAACACTAACATTCACAACACACATACGGACACGTAAAGAACGACAAAGCAAGAAAGAGATAGACACACAGAGAGAGAAAGAGAGACTAAACGGCTGAAGGCATTTAAGGTGTAACCTGTTTGATGCGATTCTATTGCACATGGCATAACAGCATATCGGCCATTTACCATTGCCATTTATTCAAATAAGTCGTTGGACGCGTTCACACTTATACACCTGTCGAAGCCGAAACCGTTCTCAGGCAACAGCGATAAAGCAGCCGAGCGCAGCGCGAATGAGCGTGGGGCCGTGGTGACTCTAGACCCAATCTATCAGCTCGACTGAATGTAGATTTTGGGTGGAGTATAGGCTTTGAAAATGAAAAAAAAAATAAGCAACAGAAACCAGCTGCTGCGTAATTCCGCGACATCCGACAAGCACAACAACAGAAGCAGAAAAAAAAACCAGCATACACAACGGAAAAGCGATATATATAAAACTTGTTTCGGTTGAGTTCATTGCGCACAGAGTGCGCCGAGAGTTCGTTGAGTGTTGCGCGACGCGATTCCATCCGATGCGAGTGACACGTTCACTCACTTTATTACCAATTCGGTGCTTCTTTCTTTCTCGCCTCATTCTATTGCACGCATTTGCGTGTATCAATTTGTGTCGTTGTCGTTTTTTTTGAGCTCATCAAAAACGAAACATTTTCCCATACTTTCTTTATTTGTTGGAATTAATTCGAATAAAATCATCAATGAATTGACATCTTTAGCTTGTGTCCCGCTCTCTTCGGGCAAAATACTGTGAATTAGAATCGTTTCATCAAAAGAGTTTCTGAAATTGGTCGTGCGATCGTGATGCATGGAAAGTAAAAGAAATTACACGGTTTTAAAATCGAACGGGTTTCGCGTCTCTTGTTCGAAAAGAAGAAGAAGAAGAAACATTGGCACACAAGAGTTGGAAATTCTTTCAATCGTTACATAGTTTTTACCAAATTTAGCGTAATGTGTGAATTGTGAAGTACGAATAATCACGCAATCGCCAAGTGAAAGAGGCCTCGCACCGTATAAAGTTTGTTTTTTTTTGTTCCAAACCAAAAACGGAAGGAAGAAGTGAGATAGTGCTAACGATTTGAACGAAGAAAGCCACCAGTGAATAGAAAATAAGAAGCTCGCAATCGAATCAACCAATGACACGAAAGAAATGAACGACCGTTTAACAATTCATTGTGTGTTTGTGTGTAACTTGAATGCGGTGTTCAAAATAGCATAAACGCTCTCTGTATTTCCTGTCTGCATGCAATTTCATTCATACGGCTAAATCAATCAGCAGCAAGTTGATCGACCACCTAACAAATCCAATTAATTGTTGCAAAATCGTTTTGTTAAATTGTGTGTGTTTGAGCGTGTGTGCATGTGTGATCGAAATCGCGCCAATAAAAAGTCCATCAAGTGGAAGTGTGTTGCGTGTGTATTCAGACAAATAAAATGGTGTATCAATCATCGAATGCGCGAGCAATGTCAAAATCAATTCAGACGACCAGTAAACAAGCACAATCTCATCAGCTGCAACAAGAAGAAAGTGGCAAGAGAATGTCATCGTCGTCATCATCGTCGAAGCCAAGTGCGAGCGTATCGCATCACGGCCGACAGATGACAAGCGAAAATGCAAATGTTAAAAGTCAATGTCGACGAGAATCGCAGCCAGCGATGTACAATCAAAAGCAGTCGTATCGATCGGAATCGTCAAGTGGACATTTGATGGGTGCGGGTGTGAAAAGTCGAAATGATCATAAAAGTGATAGTTATCAACAGGATCAAAACAACGATAATCGATACCACAGCGGCGACCAACGTTTCAATGGTGCGCCAATGACCGACATTCCCGACGACGACGACGACGACGACGACGACGATTTAGCCGAGGTAAAGATGCAAACAACATTTTGAAAAACAAAATACAACATATTTGTATACACATACATAGCGACTGCTTTTTAGCGTCTCGCTCTTCGTAAACAAGTACCATCTGTTTCCGCAACGTCGGTTGAATACACTTTTGAAATATTCAACAACGGAATCGTATGCGGAATTGTGTCAATTTCAGCGTTTTTTTTTCTTCTTTCTATCTCTCGACATATGTCAACTTTTCTCACACGAAGCGACAAAATTAGCACGAATCCAACGTAGCATAAACAGTTTGACGACAAACAGTCGTATGCTGGCAAATATCAACGAAATTAAACGGTGGAAAACCATTTGGAACTTGAAACATATACATGTGAAATTCAAAAGAATGTTAATTAGAATCAAGTGCTCACAAACAATACAAAACTCACGATAAACATCCTCACAAATGCATACAGACTTGAAATGAGGCTCATCTCATGAAAACAACTCGTGTGAAAAGTTAAGATTTCAAGTGTTAAAACACTTATTCAATTTATTAAATTCTGTCTCACATTTGATTAAATGTGCATGTTTGGAGTGGAGTGGAGGGAGGTGCTGACGAAACGAATAAGAAAGGGTGACTCGTTTTCATTCAATGAAATTAAAATGTATGTTTGCCTGCCTATGCTCAAAGGCATATTCGAATTCATCAAGCTGTTTAGCAGATACTTATATAGAAAATATTTGTCGCGTTTTAGTGTTCGCCAAACTTTTCCACCAAATTAACTTTGACAATTTCTGTGCGCCTGGAAATTGCAGTTCATCTTCGTGAGTGAGATCGAGAGAGAAAGCGAGAGAATGAAAGATAGAGAGTGTACGGAAGAGCGATTTCAGAGGAGTGTATATGTGTGAGAGAGAAAAGCTACTTCGTCACGCGACTGAATTCCAATTTAATTTCGATGACTATGCCGTAGCACGTCACCGCGTCTCAAACTTTCAGCACATATTTTCATCAAATCATCCCAATAAATGTCTATACAGAGGACATTATTTCATTTTGTATGAGTCGCAACGCCACCGCCCTTCGAAAACTTACACTTAATATTGCCGAAAAAGCTGTAATTCGGTTTCCGTTTCAATGCATGCCGTATGATACGGGCGAGAAGAAGAGAAAAAAAAATACAAATCATAATCAAACTTTATCCTGCACAAATTTATTCACATGAATTGCTCTTAATTTATTCTCTACATTCTTGCCTGACTTTCGCCCGCTCTTTCTCTCTCTCTCTCTCCATATATTATGCGCACCAGTTTTCAACAAAAGCCCAAATATCCAGCGCTTGTATCAATTTATACATATACACGATGTTCTTTTCCTTATTTGTAGGTGCTTTGTCTTTTATTTACGAATTCACAAAACAGAAGGGGCTTATTCTATTGATTACGCCTAACAACTCCGAGATATATGTGTATGAGACGCGGATGAATGAATCCGCAGATTTGGCCCGAAGGTTGTGCTGTCTCTTGCATATGAGTCTTATGAGCAAGACGACGCAAAATATTATTAAAATCATTCCAAATTCAACGGTTTTACTAATCCAATGACAATCTATAGAATTATTCAAATTCGCGAAAATAAGTAAGTCGCTTTTGTTGCCTTCACTGATACGATTACAACGAAATGTTGATTGAGAGCATAAGCGGTTACATACTGGCGAGGTTGGCGCGCCCATTGGGGGAGAATTTTCACGCCCGTTGAAGAATTTTTTTTCTTTAATTCACGAATTGTGGAGAATTTGGAATTTCATTTCATGAAGAACGCATTAATTTGCAATAGGAAATTACAGAACGAAGGAAAGTCCAATGACAACGGACATTCCAACAAGTAATAAATAAGCCATTGATTATAATCATATAATCATAAAAAAGATGTCAAAACTAATCAAGTCGCACTTCAAGAAAATGTCGAAAAAAGTCACATCGAAAGTTTATAAGCCTTTTCTATTCACATCGTTAACAAACATCAAGAATTTCGAAGAATTCATGAGTCAACTTTATCTCAAGTACCATGAATTTGAATTATTTCACTATAACATCGCGTACGCATGCAATTAATCATCACTTGGTGTTGATAATACTTACAGTTTAACGGAATGATGTTCATTACTTGAACATTTTTCAAGTTTTTAATATTTTTGATAGACTTACATATCTAGACAGATTTCATTCGTAATCAAAACATAGGCTGGAACGTAATTTTAATGGATTCACGAAGAAAAGGAGAAAAATTCATTTGATTTTTTTTTACTTTTGATAAGAAGCAATCTATTCTTATTAAGCAAGCTCCTATAAATTTTTTGACTATTCTTAAATCTTATCAGTTGCTCATTTCAATGAAGCTTTGTTTATATTCGAAAAGAAATGCCTAAGAAGCGTCCAAAGATTCAGAGAAATGTTTACAAAATATTACGTTCGTGGAATGTTGTTATCGTTACGTTCGTTGTAGGTGTATCAGCTCTGAGCTTCAAGGTCTCATTTCTCATTTGTGATGAAGTCATTTCTGTATTATTCATCGCTTTTTTCGTGTATTTAGCTCGGAAACAGAGCCTCAGATCTTCGTCTACGGTTCTCAAAATTCGTATCGCGCAAGTTTGTCATACCAAAAAAGGGCTCTCGTGCAAATGCTGTCGCGATGCGGATCTGTCGCAAAATGAGATTTCTAATTGGTCGGAAGTATTTGGAAATGTCGAATGTATTACGTGAATATGTGTTCGCTTTCAAGAGCACATGTAAAAACAAAGATCCGAAATTGTCAATCCTTACGGATTGACGTGGCGTTCCATATTTTTAGAAAATTGCCAAGTCCCTTTATCTTTCGGAGCCTATAAATTTTCCATAGCATTGGCATAAGTGCCGGATTTTCCCTCTTCTTTGTCATACATCGTAATGAATTGGATGCCAAAAACTGTCATGTGTGTGTTCCGTATTTCATTGGCGGTTGGATGCTGGTTTTCAAGGTAAAAAGTGGAAAATATATTGGAACATATATTCGTTCTCCATTTTTTTCCCTTCTTAAATCGTAAACGAAAGTGATGGTATGCAAGATGTGCCGATGTATTGAAGTAAGCTTCGTTCTTTTCAGCTAAAAACATATTGTATACAAATTTTGAAGTCTTTGTGTACTGTATAGATCTTTGTTTGTGATGTGGATGGAAGCGCACGTGCTAGTATATTTTTCCGGATTTTACTGCAGAATTTCGTTTCTTTTTTGCATAAAGTTAACGGTCGCACAGATTTCGCATACAAATGAAAGGTTGATGCGAAAAAAATTACCTTGTCACACATCCAGAAAACAGAATTTCCGCCCGACACACAGAGCACAAGAGAAAAATACTCTCTCGTTCTCTGCATCTCGGAAAAAAGGTAAAACAATTTATTGAATGAGTTTTTCTAATCTACGAAGAAAGATCTAAATAGCATATTTGAATGGGTTTTCTCTTTCTCGCCGTGAATATTTTACTCGAAGGTTGAATAGTGGAGGGATTGTAAAAATGTCGAATTGGAACCTGTTCATTTTGCATCTTTGCCAGCCAATGCTTCTGATTCGGGTTGATATATAACTTTACATTTTGGGATGCGAAATGATTTTGTTTTCTGGCTGTAACCTCTTGGCATCGATTCCGAACCGCTTACATAAGTCTTGTACTCGTGTGCATTTTGAGCCCTATGCAGGCTTTTCCAATCGTCTTTGATGACTCATTCGGATCGAAGAAAGAGAGAGTGCGATCGTAAAAAATACAAGTGTTTACAAGAAAAGTATGTTCAATGTTCATAGTTGTAGTGCCAAAGACGGGCACGAAGCAATGTGTTCACCTATGTGCCATCTTGCACATTCCTTTTGTTTGCCGCTTGTTTTTATTCACCGAAACCAAAATGGAAATAAATAACTGCCTATTTGAATTGCAAATTGTACATCGTTGCCGTAATGATTTTTATTCGGTTGTTGTTGTTGTGTGCGCTGCCTTTGTTCCGCATTAACGTTATTTGCTCAAGTCTTTTCTACTTTTACGCCTCCCAATTCACATCCTGTCGATTGGTGGTGCCTTGATTGATTTTTTTTTCTGCTTCGATACGATGCGCTTGTGGTGGTTGTTGCGTTCCGTACACACACAATATCCGTGAAATAAACAACGACTACTCAGAAATTCCCGATCACGAAGCATTTCATCGCCTTTTCACGATATTTTATCGATTTTATGCGCTGGAATTTTTTGCCGCCGATTGCGGCACCGAAATTGTATTCATTAGTCATGAAAATGGGAATAAGGTGAAAACTACATACGATGCACGGGGAATTCGAAATTGGTAAATGTATCGAGAGAGCGAACCGAAAGAAAGAACGAAGAAAAAGCCGAATAATACAGAGCACAACGACGATGAAAAGACATTTATATCAATTTTCCATGGTCTTAATGCATTTTGTATGTCAATTTAAACCGCGAGCATCTCGAATATTCCATTTTAAATTAGAGTTCAAGTTTAAAATGAATTTTGTGCTTGAATCTCGAATTCATGCTGAGTGACATTCCACACGGAATGCGTATTTTTGCAGAAATCGATGCCACTGACTGAGATAGAGAGAGAGCATGTTCCGTTTCATTAAGCCGAATGAAAATGGTGTGATTCTTTTGCATTTGCCATGGACGTGATTTAAGAGGCCAATATTCGCAACCGCAAATATACGATTCGATACAAATTTAATCCCACTTTTCATCGATAAGCTACTTAACTTCAAGTCTTGCTTTACGTTCATAAACGCTAACACAACATTATTAAACCAGATTTTCATTTTGATTTTTCCTTTTATTTACAGGTAAGCGATTGATGTTTCTCCTCAAAACTGATTACATAACACAAGTGCTAAAAAAAAATGGTAAGTTTTGTGCGGTGATTTCAAGCGTTTCGCCATTTTTTATGGTTATCACATCCGGCCCGTACCGTCAGATCAATGCTGATTCGCGATGATAGATAATTCA